TCTGTTACAACGGGTGAGGCAATTCAAGTTTTTCGAAATAAGGGTCTATATATGTTTTTCTCACCCCAAAAATACGCTGGCCATTGTCGTATGTTTACAAATTGACGAATCATGTACCTTGCGCATAATTCATTTTAGTTTGCTCCATAATAGGTTAGTGTCATTTGCAATTGAAGTAATAGACACGAGACTATCAATTGGGCGCCTTTAATAATAATAAATGAACGAGGGGATAACCTTAACTTGCTCAATTGGTTTGATAAAAGCAATAAATCGACGATATGAAGTGGCTTTTACCGATAAAGTTAAAAAGAACTATTTTAACATTCTTGGCGCATCGCGTTGCACTGCAATGCACTGGCGCATTACATACGCCGTGTAAAGAAAGGTTCGGTATTTCTTCTCAAGTAGTTTGAGACTACTAGTAATCTAATTTTAAGAACCGCTGTTGTATAAAAGGCAATACCGGATGTTACTTGCACCGTTAAGTTCTGATTGTTTGTCTCCCCCGGCCACTCCTGCAGTTCATAGCAATTGCTAACTTTTGAACCTTATGGCGTTATAAAATTAATTTTCGCGAACTGAAACATATTTAGAACTGCAATTGCTTCTTCAAAGTAAAAGCGACTGCAATTACGACTGGAGATCGGATTTATATAAATTAAACCGCGCGTTCACGTAATTAGCGAGAATATGCTTAAATTGGCAATTAAGTTATTTTTAGTGCTGAAAACAGGGCAATATTACCGATTAAAATGGTGCACGGTTCAAACACTATAGCAGCAGTAGTTTCACTTTCAATTCTAACGATTTAGGTATTCGACTCGAAAGGGTTGCAAAATGGTTGTCCGTAAAATATGAGAGGACAGGGATGAAAAATAGATGTTGAATATACTTTACCGTACCACATTTCATTTTATATTTAAATTTACTACACGAACAAAATTCCTTCATCTCTCAAAATTTTCGTGGCTAATTTTCATTTACTGGTACACGTAAACCAATATTAATGAGTAACGACGTCCAGTATGTGAAAAATCGCATATTGATCGTATTGGACTATTATTAAATAGAGGTTTTCCAGTGGAATACATACACTTTAGGTTTTAGGGCGGTGGCATATTTTTCTATTCCTAATAACCACCAACTTTTACGACCGGGCGTCTTTTGGTGGTAACACGCTCTTATTAATGCTAGGGCTGGGCGATTACGGATTTGAATAATCGATAATCGATTATGAAAAATAATCGATTACACTGATTAATCGATTAATCAAATAATCGATTAATCAAATAATCGTTTACTCAAATAATCGATTAATCAAATCATCGATTAATCAAATAATCGATTAATCACCTAATCGTTTAATCAAAAGTCGATTGTCACATACAAGGAGTGATAAATATCTGTTTGTATGCATTAATACGTTAATTATTTAATAATAAAAATAAAAAATAATTCCATTACTCTTTTCATCAAATCGTTCATTATTAGGCAGATCGATTAATCAATAATCAACAAAGTGTCCCTGGTTCGAATCCGGGTTCGGGCATGGATATTTGCAAATGCATAGTGGGTTGGTTGGTAGAACAGCCTTGGCTGAAACCCTGCCCATTTGAAAATGAAAGTCAAAAATAAAAATAAATAAATAAAAATAAATGATTAGGCAGCTTACTCTCAGATGAGGTGTGCTTTAGTTTTGATGATACCTACAATCTTAATTCATTTTAGCTGCTTAAAGTGACGTTTTAACATCTGCTATAAAATAAAATAATACTTGTGAGCTGTGAGTGCTCCTTTTTGCGTAAACTGATGATCCAGCTAATAATAATCAATTAAAATTTACTTAATAATTGATTAATCAAACAATCGATTAATCAAATAACCGATTAATCAAATAATCGATTAATCAAATAAATCCGATTAATCAAATATTAATCGATTAATCGATTAATCAAATAATCGATTAATCGATTAATTTAATAGAATAATCAAACCCGATTATCGATTATCGTTTGATTATAATCGATTAATCGATTTTTTTGCCCAACGCTAATTAATGCCATGCCTATAGATAGGTTGCTCCGAAAATTTCTGCAAATTGATTAATAATCAAAATACCTATGCATTTTACTCGTGAAGATGTTCACGCAATGATTTTGTATGATTTCAGGTGATCTGTCCCTGAAGCAATGATATCCATTTGGCCCGAAATAATTTGAGATAAATGTGTCGACAGTTAGTGCTCCAAGCTTATCGTTAGTGCTGCTACATTATATGAGAAAGAGGGACAATAAATAAAAAAAAAAATAAAAAAAACCCGGGCGGGGCCAACTTCACACTCAACTTTTATTTATCGCAATAACGAACGCACACGGCGTTAGTGCTATAGACAAACAGTATCTCAAATTCTTTCGCTGTTCCTAAAGAAGTCGAATGTTGTTATTGTCCAATGGAGAAATAAAATTCCATATACATTTCTATACATATTTATTGGTGAAGTCGAAGCGAATATCTTGAAAAGGAAGTGTCGGAAGAGGATACTCATAAAAGGCAAGTGGAACGTCTGGAGGAGACACATCTAATGGTGATGTCAAAACTTTCAGTGCAAATATCCGCAGAACGGAGTGTCGGAGGAGTGCCCATTAACAAGTTACGATTGTATAATATGATATGGTAGTCAATATTAGATCACATAAAATTTTGGGAAATTCATTCGTTTAACCACCATCCACACAGCAATGGAATTATTGCCATAAGAAATACTTTGTAAACTTCGAGGCAAAAAAGCCAGATTGATTCCCAAATAAAATACTAAATCGACATAACTCCAATAATAATAATATAATAATAATAATAATAATAATATATTTTAACCTTTTTAGCTAATAATAATATATTTTAACCTTTTTAGCTATTAGATAGGTGAGGCAAGTCAGTACAAATACATATAGTATATATAAAATAACGACAGAACACGAATGAGACATAGATAGACCAACAACAATTTAGAAATTAACTCATTACAACAAATACTACGTTTCTGAAAGAAGAAGAAACTCCTCAATTGTGTAGCAGCATTTCGAAACGAGGTAATCTTTCAGCGTCTTTTTGAAAAGTTTTGAGTCCTGAATCTGCTTTATATCAGCTGCCAGCGCGTTGTAGAGGTAACATCCTGCGTAATGCACTGATTTTTTAAATTTAGTGTCTCGGTAAATACATATGGTGTCCTTTTCTGGTAAGGTAATCATGATTATCGCGGTTTCTTTTAAATTTACGTCTAAAAGTATGAATGTAAAGCAAGATTTTGTATTATGTATAATGATGTAAACGTTAGTCGTCCATAAGAAATAAGAAAGTTGATATAATTTACTCAAAACTCACAAGTAATAAAAATTTTATTCTAGGGACCGTCAGAAAGCTGAGAAAAAATTGCTAAGGGTCTGTTAAAAGTATTGTTTGATATCTTTGAAAATAAATGAACGCTAGCTCTACAAACTTAGAACTACAAGAAACTCTGAAAGGAGAACTTAATCTACATAAAATTCTGCAATTCTTGGCTCATTTAAGCGACCTTGTATCTCTTACGGTTTTTGAGACCCCCATCCAATAAACAGAATAGATTTATGAAGAATAGAGGCAATTTCAGAGGCAATTTGGACATATTGTTGTCAATTTTCCAATCACAAATTATGACTCCAACCAAAACGCAATATCTTTAAAAGATATTCCCCCATCTACAGATTTCTTAGGTTTTACATTTCACTTAAGAAGTATGTACAATGGAATTTTATTTCTCCATTGGACAATAACAACATTCGTCATTATACAGCATTCTGCAAACGAGTAAATGGAGAATGGGAACTGTATGACGACTGTAAACTAGTATAGTTGCAGCCGAGGTTGCAGCAAACGGGAAAGTTACCCCGTATGCACTATTTGAAAAAGTGTCATTGATCCATTAATAATTGGTAATATAAAAAAATATTCCTGGAGTTTAGTTCAGATGACTGTTCTAAAACTTCAAAAACATAAAGAAAAACAAGCGATTCTATGGTTTACATTATCTAGGAATGTTTGGATAGATCTGGATAAAAATTTTGACTATCAATGTAAACCCTGTTTCTTACAGCTATGTATTGACTTTGGTTAAGAAAACTGATAAACGACCATATCCCGAATTCGAATATCTGCTCAAACAAGATCGATAGATACAGTCTTTCAATGTTTTCTAATACTTTATGCGGTTTATTTTGAGAAAGATCCAGTTTTACAATTAAATTTATCATGACGTAACATGACTGCAGCAATAATTATCTGCCGTGGATTACTATGTACGAATACGTATAAATTATTGTTCATAAAGTATAATTACAATCCAGAATTACAATGTGACTCGACGCTGCTAATTGTGTTTTTTTTAACAACCAGTCATAAATTTGGTCAACTTGACACAATATTTTAGTTTTTTTTTGTTTTTCTTGGAAACAAAAAACGTTGGAATCGTAATCTTTGAGCACAAAACAGCACTAACGATCGTATTAGTTTTCTTTTTAAATAGTCATGGGCTTCCCCACTTCACACAATGTTTTAGTTTTTTTCGTTTTTCTTGGACTGATGAAATGTTGGTGCCAATTTTTGGAAATATGTGAACTGCTCAATTGTAGAAAAAATCTTGTGTGTAATTCGAGCGCAAATTGATTGTCGATTTCAAGAGGTTGCCGCGCTCCTTCGTCGCGCGTCAACTGTCTCTTTCAATCGACAATATATCATATTGCACTCTTAATACACAATAGCTATTTGAACCTAATTATACGAGTGAAATTTTGATGTACCCATGTATCTAAACAACATTGAAAGTCAGGACGTATATTCACTCTAAAAGAAGCAAGTGTTGAGTGGAGGTCAATTGAGATTTTTGAAACCAAAGAGTTACGCTTGATATGAATTTAAAGAATCAAATGCAACTTAAAATCTATTAAGAATTGTGTTGTACTTACCACACCTAATCCCTCCGTTGTTTCGATATTCCCCAGTCACTGAAAATACACAAAACCCAAATGAAAATGTTGTATGTATTGATAAACACACACTAAATAGTTATCAAAACTAAAATGTACTTCCTACTTCTTCAAACATAGCGCGACAACAGACTCGATTGCGCAAGTCTTGACCTTCGCAATGCGTTTTGTGATAACCCGATGAATAATGCCTTAGACGGAATGTCAGAAAGTGATTGGTGATATCAAATTTATCGTGTTTGTGGGAATAAACCGAACCAAGACGGTATCAGTCATGCCTAATTAATATGAATCGAAGAAACCGTACCAACTACGTTAGTTCTGGCATTTCTCCAGTTGTTTAATTCCATCCAAACAAAAAATCATTTGTTTGAAATAAGTGCCATGGTGCTAAACATGAGGTTATAGGATGCGGTATTTCTGTGAAGCGTTCGGGTACGATAGTTATTTGAAAATGGTTTGACCGCCCTGAGTTCAGGTCGTGCCTTCATAAACTTGACGTGGTTTCTTTTGCCAAGTATTTAACAAGCAAAATTCCCTCACAGTCCTAAAAAATGGCCGCCATCAATTTTCCAGACGAAAGTTGGGTTTTTGTTTTTTCTCCACTCCCAAGAAAACCCAGTTTTCGTGGGTCGCAGTGTATTGATTTTTGATTTATGAGGGTCCGAGTGAAACATCCGCGTTTTCGCCGCCAATGACAACCCGCGAAAAATAGTTTGCTAGGGCGCACAATTGCTAGTTATAAACTTCTTTCATTGCCAGTCTCTGCTCTGGCGTGAGGAGTCGGGAATTCATCGAACATACACTTTTTTGTGCCCGAAGCTTGGAGTATAAATGTATAATTTTAAATATTTGAGGTTAAGTGGAGGAGTAGCACTTGCGTGTGCTGAACTTCACACGCGTCGACTTTTAATTGCCGCCATCCATATTTTATTAATCTTTGGCAATTTAATTCATTTAATTGGGAGATTCCGCAGTATTGGACGGATTCACCTTTAACTCCATATATAGAAGATATAATTGTGTTTTTTTGCTTCTTCGTAAGTACGCCATTTTCATTTTATGTACTTGAAGTGTATCTTTCTTTATGTTTCGGCTGATACTGTGCGATCAAAAATGAGTCGTTGTCGAGTTACCTTTCGTTTACATGGGAAATCGTATTTAACTTGAACTTCCAAAGGCGACTCGACAACAACTCATTTTTGATCGCCCGTTATTTCCATCGACGATTATTGGATTCATCTATAATTACCCTTCTTATTTAATATGTATGTACGTTTTATGACATCAACGAAGGGGTTACCTTTGATTTTTTTTGTTCCAGGCTCGAAACGTAATCCTGTGTACTCCAGACCGTAAACAATTTTTGTCAGATTACTTACCGACCAGAAACGTCTTCCGTTGCATTACCGACAACACTTATTTCGGCCAAATTATTAATTCATGAGTTATACCAGAGACCCGAATTCTTTTCCAGTTTATTTTCCATTCTCCTTTCAGCTTTACGTTTAATTCATTTATTCTCACCTGGCCTCCTTTTCATTGCCTTGCGGACCCCGCGTTACATAGTATTGAACTGATATATTGGGTTTCCCCTTCCAACATCCTTAGGTCCAGACGACTCTAGTCAGTGAGGTAGTACAAAGGGTCCGAATGTGAGGTCTAAGTATGTGTGGATCTCATCCACCCACGTATTGTATTGTATGTGCATTAGGTCGGTCGACCTGACTAGAACACAATTGTCATTGTCCTCCTCGAATGCTGAGAAATTCAACTGGCTATTCATACGTGATTGTTTGCGGCGTTCAGAGGAATTCTTTTAGGGGCACGAATCAAGTTAATCCCGACGTTACCTTTGATGGAAAACTCCATGATAAATTACGGAGTGTACAGTTCACTATTATAAATAATCTGCTAATTACAGCAAATTATTCTAAAGGAGATCCAAGTCTACAGTTTAAAGGCAAATCCATGTCGCTGTTACAACACCACGCGCCACGGTCCGGGCTTTGACAGCGATAGCTAGAAATCCAGACAGACACAAGTGCTGAAGTCATGTTATCTTGTAGGTCACAGGATGTTGCAAAAACGTGCAATTTATGCACAAATGAAGCATACGCAAATGTGTTGTTTTCCACAGTCCACCAGATCGGAACTACTGACACGGCACCGACTGAGTAGTACCATGCATGTTAATTGGACTCCCTACTCCTCCCACCAGCGGAACACCGCTTTGATTAGTGCGTGTTGATTTTCATCTTCCTTTTTCTTCATACGCCGTAACAAAATACACTTTAAAGCCAACCAGCTGAAAGCGTGAGATAGAACGCATGGAATTTTAATTGCCATCATCCATATGTATTGATCTCTGGCGATTGGATTCATAATTTGGGGATTCCGAAGTATTTTTGGACGAATGTCACCTATATATTCCTAGGGAGGATTTAATTTGCGTTCTTTCTTTCTTATCATAAGTACCGCTATGTGCATTTCGTTTACTCAGAGTGTATCTTGTTTCGGTTTTAGATATAATTTGTATAATACAATTTCCATCGACAATTGCTGCTTCATCTACAATTATTCCTCTTATTTAAGAGGTATGTAAATTTTTAGGTTATCAAAGAGATGCTCTGCTTCTTTTAGGGTTTGAATTTTAAGAAGCAGTGTAAATTCCGGATAAGTATATTTGATACAAATCTTGTTCGACATACGAGATTGGTAACCTTGGATTAAGCCCACCATTACTTGCGAGCCTACTCAGTATCTTTGACATGTCGGTTAAGTTATGATCGAATTTAAAACCACCACTTCCTTATAAAGGGTTTGTTCAATCAAGTACCGTACCTTGTATAGAAGCAGATTACTTGGTGCAAATTTTTGCACGAAATATCAATTTATTAATTTCTGAATAGTTGTTTTCAGATTCAGTAATTAGTTTGCTAATCGATCATTCTTGATTTGGATCAATTGTACATTGAAGTTACTATGATTTGTTAGGAACGTAAGTTATAATTTTGAGTATATGGGGGAGTATTTAGTATTTTGTGTGATAAACTATCCACTTGTGGATACAATTTTTCTGTTTGTCATTTGGTGTCAATATTTCTTTTGGTACCTAAATTGATTTTCACTGTTATTACTACTCTCGTATCTTTTCAATTTCATACAGGGAGTTAAGATAGAAATTGAGTGGCGCTCAACTATTGGTAAGTGCAACGAAGTTAAGAAAATCAAATGACCAGAATGAACTACCGCTGTATGAGATCTCAAGCTCAAATAGGCATAACCAATAATTTAATGAAAGCCGTAACTCTACCTAAAAGTGTAGTTATTCGCAATCCCTAAACACGTCTCAACTGAGAACAAGAACGCATATTTTGATTGGGAAATTGGGAATTCCAAGGAAAATTCCTCAGAACTCGGTTCAAGAACCCGATTTGCTTTTCCAGAACACACTTAGATATATGGTCAGATACTTGATTCCATTTGTCTTGTAAAGTAGACCTAAGAATTACCAACTCTACTGCTTTCATGACATTTTTCAGGGGTATTGGAAAACACGTTCTTTTACAACTCATTTCCGTTTTAGGAGCATCGGTCACTTATTGATGGGAGCTATTCAAATATATCAAAGGACCAATAACCAATATTGCGTTGGCGAAAATGGATATCAACTAAATTTTATATACATTTGACATACAACATTATACACCTTAAAAATAATATGGACAAACGGTCTACCCTATTTTACCACTGAATCGTAGCCTACCGATAGACTGAATACAGGAGTAATTCCAAATAACTTCTTGCGTAAACTCGAAATCTCGAAGAGATAAGGTTCGTTTATTTCGTAAATGCTAAGGTAAAATCTTTAAAGTAGTAACAGCTCCGGTCATTCTTTAATGAGAGATTGCGATCTTCTGGACACGTTTTCATATTCCACGCGTAAATATTTACTCAAATATGAATGAAAGCTTTTATAGTCCAAAACACGACGGTACCAAATCTAATTAGGTATCAACACAAATATCCTCTTCCGAAAAAATTCACCCCTCGCGCTAAATAGTTGAGAACTCATCAAGTTGCCGGTCTCGTAGTAAATCAAATCTGCGTTGCGTATTTCATTAACTTTGAAGTTTCCCAACTACACAACATAAAACCTTTCCATTTCATTGTATTATAGTCACCGCGAGTTTAAAGTTTGTATTTCTCCAAACCCTTAACAATTAAAGAGTCGGAACAATCGGATTTCATACCTACGTCAACAATGCCTCGGACTATCGACTATTAGTCCTCCATTATAAACAAATTTACTTAGACCTTCCGGTTTAAGCGGCGGTTGCCATAATTCAAACGGAAGATAAAGCTGCAGGAATTACGGTTAATTGAAGTTTCATTTTGACACAGGGTCTTCGCTTTTTAAAATGTAATTGTAAAGTATACGCCAAGTTGCGAAACGAAAAATAAAACCCATAAAACAATAATCCATTGAGTAATCTAGGCTGTATATTATGACATAATAATCAATACGGTTGGACTGTACCTGGAAGGAGCCCCGGATGTACGTTTTAGCGTCGGAGAAATTGAGATTAAGAGACCGCTGTGTTCTTATTTCGTTATTGAGGTAAAGTCAGTAGGGAGAGCGGGGTGAAAAACCGACAGTTTTGATATTCTGCGTACGAATTTAGTCATAATAGCAAACGTCACCCGTGTCGATCAATCACGCAGGTACTAAAAGAAGCCCCGAGGGAGAATCCTAAAATTACATGAGAATGGGTGTTATTTATGCTATTAGATTGTGGATAATGATCAGATTACAGCTATTGAGATGTCGTTATAGATACCTGCCTTGGGTATACTAACAGGCAAAGATGTTCACTTTAATAACAGTCCCATATATGAAGAGAAACCGAGGGACCCACTTTTAATACGCAGTAACTCGAGTAAAAACATTCTCAATATAAAATAATGAAACTTCTTTGACACAAGCATTTTTTTCTTATAAAAGCAGTCTTTAG